CTGGCTACCCCTCTATTTCTAAAAAGTCACCTGTGTACTGAAGTGGGTGGCACATATATTTGGTCTTCTAAGACCACTCCAAAGATCTCTGATCCATGCCAAGCAATCCAAGAGAAAGGCATATATAAGAAGTAAATATGGAGAAGACAATATTTGCAAGCCTGCTGGGCACTGCAGCCTATGACAGAAATTACAGGTGTTCACCAGTACTCCAGACCCCCTCTCATTCCAAATGCAGGGGAAGGTTGGACTTGCCTGGCTCCCTAAAGTCAGAATAGCCACATCACCTCCTGGGCCATGAGGGTAGAGATGATGTGTGCCGTTTCTTGAGGGAAGAACTGACTCAGCAGTGCTCAATCTCTCTCTCTTTCCCAATCTCTTTCTCTCTCTCTCCGCTTTTCCCCTGCTGCAGCAACCATGCAAGTTGGTTCTGACATGCGATATGAGTCATTCTATGAGGAGTACTTGTCTGGAGAGTTGCAGATATGCATGGACTTTCTTTTAAGTCACTGACATTTTGGGGAGCTGTTTGTTATGCAGCAAAACCAGATCTGGCCTGACTTATACCTGGTGATTTGTTGTTTTTCTCTCCTCCCAGATCTACTTGGAATTCTGGAAAATGTATGCTCCGTCTGAACCCCATACTCATTGTAACTCAGAAAAGCAGGTGGCGTGTTTTCTCTCACATGTAGAATATTTGGCTGAGAAGTATGGTGAGCATCGTCCTTTCATTTGAGCAAAAGTGGCCTCTTTGAATTCTAGAGTGGAATAAAAAAAGGCCTTCCACAGTCATAGGACAGACGTGATGGTGATGATACTGGATCCAAAGCTTGGACAAATGACACTTCGGGCCAGGCTTGGTGGCTCAGCCTGTACTCACAGCACTTTGGGAGGCCAAAGTGAGTGGATTGCCTGAGCCCTAGCATTCGAAACCGGCCCAGGCAACTTGGCGATACCTCATCTCTACAATAAACAAAATATTATCCAGGCCTGGTAGTGCGTGCCTGTATTCCAGCCACTTGGAAGGCTGAGGTGGAAGGATCGGGGGAGCCCAACAGGTCGACGCTGGGGTGGCTGTGAGCGTGCCACTGTACTCCAGCCTGGGCAATGGAGTGAGACTCCGACTCAAAAAAAACCCCAAACCAAAACAACAACAACAAAATGACACTTCTGAGTGGTTCTAAGACCACAGTTTTGAGGCCAGGATCAGATATTTTGCATTTCCCCTTGCCTCTACCCATCCTCCCCTCATCCCACCTCGTCCCCCATCCTTATCCTCTATTTCCAGAGCCCCCACTCACCAATCCTGGTTTAGCTGGACTCATATTTGCAATCCTGACTCAGCAGTCACTTTGCTCTGTTCCCAACACACAGCCTGAGCATTACAGAGACCCAGAAGAGCTAATCCCGGTAGGAATTCTTATTTCCCTGCCTTTCTGTCAGTTGTCCCAGGATCTTACGCATGGAGTCCATCCTCTCTGTGTAAATCCAGAACTGCTCACTCTCCCGGATGACAGGGACCACACCCTACCAAATCTCCACCAGGCCTGCTGCACCTCAGTGGAACGGCTAGAATGCTGCCACCGTTACGAGACAAAGCTGACCCACATCACACACAAGTGCATGTACATACCTTTTAAAAAATATCCAAATTGCATCATGAATTACTTTTGGTAAAAGTGAATAATGATATAGGATGCCTCACTGGCCTCTCCCGGGTGGTGGCAGCTGGGCAGACTGTCACATGTGTGCAGACTGCCTGCACTTTCCTTCTGGGGAACACTCCCTGGCCAGCCTTCCTGTACATGGTTCCTAACCTTCATCGTGGTGAAAAGAGAAGGCGGCAGGGATGTGGCTTCTACCATACCCTCCATTCCACGGCCCAGCCTTCTGCAGCCATGCTCAGGGTGGGAGATCACACCAGCATTGCTCCTGGTGATACTATTATTTGGGAAATGTTCACTGAGTTCTTATACAATTGTGTGTATGGTGTGTATGGTACTGGGCGATGTACTTGAGTGAAAGGAGGATGAAAAAGAGAGCTGGTGACTGCTGTGGACAGGGTACTGAGGCAAGGATGAGAAAGCGGGGAGCAGCCTGGGTTCTGATTCTCATTCCATCCTTTCCAGTGGGATACTGAGCCTCTCTGGCTTTGGTTCCTCATTTGTAAAGAAGGCATGATATGGAGTCCTGCCTTCTAGGGTTGCTAGGGGATTTGATAAGATGACATATGCAGCAAATGCTCCAAATCAGAGGCAGCGCCAGGTCAATCTCTGCAGCTGCTGAAGGTGGGAAGCCAGAAGGGCCTTGGGCAGGAGAGGACTGTGTCATCTGTCAGTCTCTGGGTGTGGGCACTGTCCTAGTGCTTCTTGGGTCAAAAAGTAGCTTCAAGGAGGAAGCCACTTCATCTTTGCCATTTGGGATCGGGATATGTCTTCCTCTTTTTTCTGCACTTTGGAGGGCCCATTTTAACGCTTGGACCATCTAGCTCTTCTTTCTTGGCAGACAATGAAAATGAAGAGAGACAAATTTAAGAGTTAAAGAGACAAATGACATCTCTCCCAGTGTATGGGGAGAAAAAGTAATATCATTTCCTCATCCGTTGCAAGGTTCCTGGGTAAGTTCTCTATAACAAAAGAAAGATTAACAAGAGAAAAACATATACAATTATTTACCTTTTTCTTCTTTTAAACCAAAGGTACCTATTAAGCGACTCAGAACCCAAACCATGAAGCCTACAATGACTTAATCATGGACTAGAGAGGACCTCAAAAGAGAGTACAAAAAGAAGCAGCTCCCCAAGATCCAGAACAACTCCCAAGGTAGCCAAAAGCAGGAAAGACTCAAATAAACCCCCAAGAGCTGGCAATAGTTGGCACCATAGCTGCAAATGGGGTGCAGCTCACATTCTGTCTGGTCATATTCTTGGTTTCCCTAATCTGAGTTGTACATCTGCACACCAAAACCAACAACCCGTGTGCCCAAACAGGCAAAGTGTCAAACCAAGTTATTGGGACTCAAGTCAAAACAAGCCAGAAAAGAGAGAGCTGCCCTGGGAGGAAAAGGACCAGTAACAAATGGGTATCTCACAACCAAGTTTAGCTGGAAAGTCACAGCACACACATGTGATTTTTCTCCTACTGAGAGGAATCTGGGAAGGAAGGGACAAGGAGAAATTATTACCTTCCTCTCTCGACCCAGCACTACAGACAGAGACCCAGAAGAGCTGACCCTTGTAGGAATTCTTGTTTCCCTTTCCCAGGACCTTATCTGCAGATGCCAGAAGGAGTGGAGTCTCAGTCACCCCACAGTGGCACTAGAAACTCTAGGTGAGAAAAAGTAATGTTTTTTCCTTATTCGTTGCAAGGTTCTTGGTTAAGGCCCTTATAGCGAAGACAGATTAACAAGAGAAGAGCATGCAAATGCACTTAATATAAGTTTTACATGATACAGGAACCTTCAGAAAAGAAGAGCCAAAGAAACAGGGAAACCTGGGTATTTATTTCTATGCTTAGGTTTGATGAAGAGTAGACAGTATGGCTGGAGGACAAAAGGGTATGATCCAGTGGGAATAAACAGGGAGGACTTAGCAAGGTCTGTCAGTTCAGATTCTTCTCTCTGTCCTTGTGTCTTCAGAGATAAGGACAGCCCTTCCCTCCGGGGGTAGGGTGAGTGCCCCATGAATGAAGGTTTTATGACCTGTTGTAGGATAGAAGAGGTGAGAGTGATCTTCTGCTGTTTTCTCAAATGCCAAGGTGCAATATTTTGGGGTAGTGTATCCCAAATCCCACTACCGACTTCTCAAATAGTCCCTGTTGTCTAAAAGCAGCTGACTCATGTCATAAGAATTCATAAGAAATGTACATCTGATCAGTTGCAAAAACTTACCTTGGTTTTCATTTCATAAATGTTCTATTGAATGCTGCAAGTTCTCAAGATATCCCTCACCCCAAGGGAGACACGTGGCCATAGCCTGGAGCATCTGCCTCCTCTGCCTCTTCCCAGCCCTGCCCCAAATCCTCTGCCTTCCGGTGCCCAGTGCACCTGCCTGCACCCCAGGAATGCCTTCCCCGATTCACCCCAGCTGAGCGGGATGCTTGTCCTTTGTCTCCTCAGCATGGGACCTGGGCATCATCCTGCTTTAAGCCACAGTTAGTAGCTGATGAGTCTCTTCCCACCCCTCCTTGAAGACAGGCACTCATTGTGTTGCTTTCGAGCTTGATTTGAGCACTTGGTATGTGCTCAACAAGCACTGAACTGCTCATGGACTCGGCCATTCACCCATTCTTCACCAACCTGTACTTACTCTGTGCCCAGCTCTCTGTGGAGCACTAACAGGAGACACAAAGCGGAGTGAGACTTGATTCTGGCTCCCAAGGCCCTTCAAATCTTGAAGGTGGAGCAAGTACAAAGTGACTCCATAGAGGACAACTCATAGTCACTAGCAACCTGGGGAAGAAGGATTGCAAAGCCAAAGGCTGGGAAGATTTGATGCCTGGCTTTGAAGGGGCTGAGCCCTCAGACCTTGCCCTGAACCCAGCGGACACTTCAGGCCGACGCCCCAGCAGGAGGAGCTGGTAGCTGGGTGTTCTGCTGCAACGGCTAAATTACCCTATGGGTCACCAATTGGTTTATTTGCTAATTGACTGGCCCAGCTTCGGGCTCTAAATCTAAAGAAATCACTCCACCCTTTATTAAATACTGTGTGAGTCTCACTCTTTGTTCTGCAGGGTCATACACAATATCCCAATGAAGCTGGAATTTACACGACAATAGTTATGCCACTAATGACCTTCAAATGCCACTAACACCATGCATGCTCCACTTCCTGGCTGGATCTGAACCTGTCAGTGAATTCTGAGCCTGTCGACCTCCCTCTGACACAGAGTGGACCCCCAGGCCCACGTCTGCCCCCAGCCTCCCCCATCAGTCCCTGATTTCATTTAGGAACTAGTTACTCTTTGGAGGGGCCCCATTCCTTCACACCTACTCTTTTTATTTGGTAGACAATACTTTATTTGAAAACGTTCCCTCCTGTAATTACAAATCTTGTTAGTCATCCTCCTCTTCTCCCCAGGGGTACTGTGGGCTTTAATTAATTAATGTGGTTAAACTGCTTTGAGGTGCCCAGTTGAAAGGTGCCATATAAGTGCAAATTATTATTATTATGGCTGTTGACATTTCATGGCAGCAAAGCCCTCGCCCCGCACATCCAGAGGCTGGAACAAAAGCGTCTTCGTCTTCACCTTCCCTGCTAGGTCTGCAGTCGCCGGCTCAATGGTCCAGGAGCAAATCTGTTACCATCTCAACAGCAATCAACTAATTAATCCCCATTATGTTGGCTTCCGTTTCCTTCTTCCAAGCAGTGTAGTCCTGTTTTATTTCACAAATCACGCCCCCATCAGCTCTAGACAAAGGTCACAGTATCCCTATGGCCTCTGTTGGCCTAAAGGAGGGGAAAAAAGAGAGGGATAAAAAGGGAGTTTAAAAAAAACACATTGTCGTGAACCACACTGAGTTCCCACCAGCAACCTAAAGGACCCATCCTCCACAGCAGTCCTCTTCCATCCCTGCTACCCACAGAACCAAACACCTCACGAACCAGAGACCCCAGAGCCACGGCAGAAGTGTGGCTTGGGGTCCCACAGTCCAACACAGCTGTAGAGAAGAGGGATGCTAGCTGCACTGGGCGGGAAGAGGTCATCCCGAGAAGCGGGGGCCCCTCTCAGCTTTCTCTGTTGCCCCAAGTTTCCCCTGAGAAAGCCAGCTGCCATCTGTAGGCAGGAAGCCCTCACAAAGCCAGGGACCGTGATATGGACGTTTTGTGCTCCACCTAGCACACCATGGCCTTTAACAAATGCCCCGCACCGCCACGATGATGGCAGCCACTGAAAGCAGCTCTGTGGGGGGACATGGCCTCTCGTAGGGATGCTGCTGACCAAACACTCCTGACAAGGTTGCGCCTCAGCCCCTTTGTTGGAGTAGATGTGGGTGAGCCTCAGGGGGCCGTGTCTTCATCTGCCTTCATTTATTCTCCCTATTGAAGCCCCTTCGGGACATCGGTCAGTCTCTGTGGGAAATGATTTGGAGAGCAACAAAAGGACTTGGGCTCTTTTGGGGCCTTCGGAATTCAGTAAACATCTGGACACGGAAGGCCAGGTTCTCAAGCAGTCTAGCTGGGGAGGTGTCAAAGGAGAGAGAGTCGCGTCTGCAAGGCAAGCTCTGGGTTCTGTGGCGACATTTGCTGTAGAGAGACACAGACGCCCCAGCAGGTAGAGATGAGGAATTTTCGAAAGCTCCCCTATTTGTCAGTGTTTATGAGTGCAGTCCAGCGCTTGTCAGTTCTCAGGGCCTGTGTGAGGAAATGGAAGTTTTGCATGGCTGGCAGCAGCGTGTGATGGATGTTATGATTCTGTGTGTGCTGTGAATAACCCAGGGTTGTGGAAGCCTGGCCCGGTGACATTTACCCTCGAGGTTTATAAAGCCCTGCGAGTCAAGGTGACTTACTGAATTCTCATCACAAATACATCTTAATTGACAAAAAAAAATTAAGCGCTGAGAGGCTAAGTGATTTACACTAAATCACACGGTGAAAATCAGGACCTGAACTCTTGACTCTCAGCATCTCTTGTTGTTGAGTCAATTCATTTAGAACACATTAGTCAGCATGATTCAACATTCGACACTAATCAGCATTAGTGATGAACTGATCAGCATTCCCCAGATCCATCCTCAAACAGCAAAGGAAATTGGCCTCTGTCAAGAGACAATGGAAGAGGGTTTTCATCAGTCTTCCCAAGCTGAAGTCCAGTCCAAGTTCCATGTATTCCCAAGAACCCTCCTCACTCATCCCAGTTGGAATGAGCCTACCCCCGTAAGCCTTCCATGTCCAGGGTTTGAACTTTGGTAATAGGGGTCACAGTTTACTTTTGATTAAACTTATTGAACTGCATCTCTCCTAACTAGATTTTGAGTTACTAAAGGAGGGACCTTTTTTTCAAACTTATACCTCTTGAGTCCTGAGCACCATGCTTTGTGAACAATAGATGCTCAACAAATACTTGCTGAACTGAACTCACTGAGATGGAGCTTAAATCATATTCCAGAAAGAATACCAAGTCCTTTGGGAAGAGATATTCAAAGAAAACCAACAACCTGAATTGATTTAACATATTTTGGTATTATTACCTGGACATTTTCACAAATGCAAATTGTTAACTCTACAAAGAGAGCCAAATGGCTTCCAGATTCTAGAAGAGGAGTGTTAATGTAGTCTATACTCCAGGCCTTGGAATAAAGCTTTTCTCAATAGCCTTAATCCAAGTGACATTTTGTTCCTTTTTTTTTTTTAAGTATAGAATAATATCAAAACACATACTTAAAGTTCCTGCCTGAGGGAGACTCTGTTTTGGGTGGGGAGGGCAAGATTTTTGGGTGCTGATGTTTGGAGAAGTAACTGACTGTGATATATACCCTACTCCTCTGCTCCAGACTGTGATAGATACCCTACTCCTCTGCTCCAGACTGTGATACATACCCTACTCCTCTGCTCCAGACTGTGATACATACCCTACTCCTCTGCTCCAGACCGACCGAGAGAGACAGAGACCGAGCCCAAAGAGGGTCCTGATGACATTTCTGATACACACAAATATTTAAGCTGCATTTCAAAAGTATAACTCTCTTATGCAACAAGCCCAGTCCTTGGGTCTGTATTATTGTACTCTAATCTCTGCAACTGGGCTCCTCTGAAAGGGCTATGTCACCAAATTGTCATTCCCCCCTTTCTCTCATGATAATAGAATTCCCCAAATTAAACTGGGTATATGGTCATCCAGATTAATGACTACACTTTCAGACTTTCTTGTTATGTATCTGCAGACTGGCCAACATCATATGGGCAGAAATAACGTGTGTAACTTCTGGTTAATGTCCTCCATGGATGGGGGATGCTTCCTCTCTCATCACCATTCTCTGTCCCATACAAATCCTGCTACCTGGATGGAGCCCATGAAGATAAGGCATTCTGGATCATGGTAATAGCAACATCATAGGTACGATGGCGCAACAAGCCAATGGCCTAGCTTCCTGGACAAACATATAGAGCTGAGCTGCTGTACCAGCTCTGAATGTGTTTCCACACAGTGCTACGTGAGAAAGCGGTTACCTTCCATCCTATATGCCGTTAGCTTACATTGCGGTTACATCTGGTCAAACTTCCAGTAGAACTACACTCAGAGCGTTCCTTGGAGAACCATTGGATCAATGCGACTGATCTATTTTAGCTTCGAATTTTGAGATTCAACATGCAGGATGAGCCTGAAGATCTCAACAAAAGCCCGTGAAGCCTGAGAGATTAGTTGCCATGGTGGCTGCCATGCTGGAAGAAGAGTGGGCCCAGGTTCATTTCCTACTTTCCAAGCTTTTAGGAACCCAGGCTGAGACCTTAGAAAGGACTACAAACCCAATTTTGAGGCAGTGGAAATCACTTTACCTTTCTGGAACCCAGTTCCCTCCCCTGAGATCACAGTGATGGAGGAGACTAAAAGCTCACATTCTGGAAAGGGTATATAGTTAACTTTAGGAGTAATGAAGACAATTTTGTCAGTTAATCATTTAAGTATATACATTAAGTACATACATAAAGCTCTCACTAGAGACCACAGAAAATTCACACTCCAGTGACAGACGAAAGAGGCATCCCTAAGAGGTGTGAGAAGATCACTCATGGAAATGTGACAGCAAACTCATAATTATAAATGGTTGCACAGAAATTGGCCTGCTGTCTCTAGAAGGGGTGTAGACAGGTAAGCCTCTGGAGAGCAGTTTGGGGAGACACAGTAAAAATGAAAATGTGCACACCCCCTGACCAGTCATTCCATTTTTATTGATGCTGAGAGAGACTGTCACAGCTGCATACCAAGAAACACATGCAGCAAAATTAATTCAGTTAGACATCATCAAAATGTCCATAAACAGGGGAGTGGCCAACATGTGGCAAATCCACACAATGGGTGTGGATGCCCAGAGCAGAGTAAGAAGACACAATCTTTGTGCACAGCATGGCTGTATTGCAAAGATATAATCTTGAAAGACAAAAGAAAGTTGTGAAATGATGTGTACAATAAAGCACTTCTGCAAACTACAGAATGCACCAAAAATAAAATAAATCATTCCATTCTGTGTGGGTTCACATATATGTGGAAAGCTTTTAAGACTGCAGAGGGGGTGCAGGGGAGGATGTCTACCAAACTCTGGAAGCTTTTATTTCTGTGGAGGATGCAGGATGAGGAGGGAGGATCAGGGATAGGTACAAAAAAGTGTTGAAGTTTGTCAAATTTTATTCCTGTAATTAAAAAAAAAGTTTGTCTGGGTACGTTGGCTCAAGCCTATAATCCCAGCACTTTGTGAGACCTCCTGTCTACAATAAATAAAAAAATTAGTCAGGCGTGGTAATGTAGGACTGTAGTTCTGGCTGCCTGGAAGGCTGAGGCAGAAGGATCACCTGAACCCAACAGGTCGACGCTAGGATGGCTGTGAGTGTGCCACTGCACTCCAGCCTGGGCGATGGAGTGAGACTCCAACTCACAAAAAAAAAAAAAAAAAAAAAATCTGAAACAAATGGGACAAAATTTTAACATTTGTTAATTTGGGTGCTAGAGTCATGGGTTTTCTTTCTTTTCTTTTTCCTTTCTTTTTCTTTTCTTTTCTTTTCCCTCTCTCCCTCCCTCTCTCCCTCCCTCCCTCCCTCCCTTCCTTCCTTCGCCAGGGTCTCACTCCGTTACCCAGGCTGGAGTGCAGTGGCATAGTCATAGCTCATCACAATCTCGACTTCCTGGGCTCAGGCAATCCTTCTGCCTCAGCCTCCTGAGTAGCTGGGACTACAGGTGTATGCCACCACACCCAGCTAGATTCATGGATTTTCTTTTGTGATTTTCTGTAGTGCTCTGTATTTAAACATATTTTTAGCCGGGCTCGGTGGCTCAGCCTGTAATCCTGCGCTTTGGGAGGCTGAGGTGAGTGGATTGCCTGAGCCCGCGCTG